TTGTGGGACTGTCGAAACAATAAAGAAACGTCCGTATAACGATTTTTTGTAATGGGGGGGGGGGGGCCGCAAGGGTGACAGTGGGGTGCGGTGTGTTCCCGTCCCGGTCGGCGATCAAGTCAAAACGTAAGAATGGAGGTCGGGAGCGTCGCCAGGCGGGCCACACGCGCAACGCGCGCCACGCGCACTCGGCGGTCCTTTTTTCGCCTCCACTCTCGACTGTCGCATCTGCCTCCACCGCCCCTGCCTGGGGTCTTAGCTCTGCTGTAAAAAAAGATGTAAGGTATATCATATACCTTACATCTTTATTAGGCAGGTATGGCCGCCCTGCCTCCGCCTGTGTACACCGCCGCCCCCGATCTTGCATCCATCCGCACTTTACAGTACAGAATACGTGACGTTTACACGTGACGTGAAAAAGGTCACGTTTACTGTTAAACCTCTACAGTACAGTTGCGAATCATGCTTAAAACTTTCAAATCACAGGACGGGCGTCAAGCACGCACACTTGCGTGCGACATGATACGCCCGCGCCGTGATCAGTGTAGAGTACAATCGCAGATGCAACGCTGGACCATAGGCCGTACAGTACCTCCGGAAGGCCCCTATGGAGCCCTGATTACAGTAGCAGACGTACAATGGCTAAAGCGCTGCGATTGTCGCCGTAATCGCGGGACGCGAGGTCACGTGTGGGTACACAGGACCGAGCCTGTGCGAGGAAGCGCACACGGAAGTGTAGAGCAGTGAACGTACAGTGCGCACTGAAAGTATAGGGACACCCCCAACACCTTTAGCTTTCACATGAATACAAAAGATATGATACTGAACAGTAGCTCAAATGCCCCTCAAATGAAAGCGCAGAGCAAGCGTGTTACGAACCTGCATTCTTTTTTATAGTTTAAAACGTATACTGTACAGTAACGTTGTCCGTAAAATAACGCGTTGTTTTTTTCCATTTGCCCACAAACTCGCTGGACGTACAGTAAACCCGAGTTTGAAAAATCCCACCACGAGTTTTGCGGACTGACCTCCAGCAAGGTACCGGCCCGCAACAAACGCAAGTCTGGTACATCGTTGTGCCGTCCGACAGATCACCTGCACCTGGGCGAATACTCGCTGAAGCGAATATTGTAGCTCGCCACAAGGATAGAATAGTTCTCAGTCGAAAGGGCGATGTGTTTCGTCTTCTTAACGGGCTGAGGGGGGCCGTTTAGAGAGGACCGCTTTTTAGAAGCTTCTACTTGTCTGTCTTCTGCGATTGCTTTAGCCGCATATGTGGCAGATCTTGTGGTGCTTCGATCCGTTGATGGACTCTGGGTAGATGAAGTGGTAGGGGGCGTCCATGACGCAAACCGGTACGAACCGTGCAGTATGAGACTGGTTCGTGCTGATGAGAGAGCGGAAACCCCACTTCGTTTTCCTTCAAGACGGGTCGATCCGGCACTGCCGTCCAATAATCAGGCGGATGTGAAAACTCGTGGAAAACTCACATGTCCCGAGTTTTCGGTATGCTGTGAGTTTTGCAAAACTCGTTGTCTGAAAATTTTGCAATCAGAAAATCCGAGCAAACTCGCGGCCAAAACACGTGTTTTCGCGACTTTACGGACAACGTTAGTGACTTCTGTATAAAAACCAAATTACCGTCGCACTGTAATTATAAGGACAGTACGCCGCGAGGGACACAGTAGAACAGTAAGCCAGTTTTGGCGCAACCAGAAGACTACAGTACCTTCTTCCCTAACGTGCACAGCCATCCCAAACTACAGTTGTTCACCACACCGCAGTTCAACATGCCCAAAGGAAAACAACTCACCGATGTGGAGAAGGGGCAGATTTTGGTTCTTCACAATGAATGTTTGTCAATAAGGGAGATCGCTGAGTCCATCAGTCGCTCGAAGACTGTCGTGCATAACTTTTTAAAGAACCCACCGGCATATGGATCAAAAAAGAGGACGGAAAGGCCCCCAAAATTAACTCCGGCTTTAAGGAGAAGAGTCTTTAGAGAGGCGTCTAAGGGTGAAACGTCGGCCAATCAGATACGTAAAGCGCTTGATTTACCTGTAAACAGGTCTCGAGTTCAAGCTCTTTTAAAGAAGGATACGCATCTACAGTATACCAAGTTTTTAAGTGCTCCTTTGTTGACCCGATTTTCATATGCAACAACGGCCTGATTAAGTTAAGAAGCATGTGACTGGGAATGATGATAAATGGAACAAGGTAATCTTTTTCGATGAAAAGAAGTTCACTTTAGACGGTCCAGATGGCTTCCATTATTATTGGCACGATTTAAGGAAAGAGAAGAAGTTTTTAAGCAGACGCCATCAAGGAAGTGGTTCGTTAATGATTTGGTCTTGTTTTTCTTATTACGGACGAAACAATTTGGTTATCATGTACGGTAGGCAGGATTCAACCAAGTACTGTACTTTACTTAAGGATGATCTGCTCCCATTTGCGGCTGTAACACATGGAGAAACTGGATATATCAACAGGACAATGCAGCTATACATCGTTCTTTTTATGCAAAGAAGTGGTTTGTGGACAACGATGTTACTGTGGTACCGTGGCCCTCTCGATTACCGGACCTAAACCCTATAGAGGACCTATGAAAGATCTTAGCGAGGACGGTTTATGGTAATGGGAGACGGTTTAATGATACTGTAGAGCTTTTTGAAGCTATGGTAGATTGCTGGCAAGACATCGACCACAGTATTTTGCAGAATCTTGTTGGCTCGATGCAAAGGCGTTTCATTGCTGTCCTGCAGAGGAATGGGGGCCGCACATCCTATTGAAAGTGACATGAAGAATGATTTGGGGGGCACTGACTCGTTTGTCCTTATAATTACAGTGCGGTCGTTTTAAGGGTTTTAAACTTAACGGACTACTGACATACCCAATCATTAAAGAGGTTACAGAATATTGATACTCCTCTTCTGTGCTTCAATATACGCTCCTGACACCATCATACCTTTTGTTTTTATGTGGCAGATCAGGATCCCATTGGTGTCCATATAGTTTCAGGCACCGTAGATAGCTGGAAAGATGGTGGATAGCGATCGAGGCCGAGCACCGCGCGCGCTCGGTAAGAACCAAACAGTTGTGTTTACTTCTTCTTCCTCTTGCCCGCGGGGTGGTCGACCCGAGGGACAGAAAGGGGATTAAGTGTTACTTTAACCCTAACAACATTGTACAAGGCGCCGTCGCATGCAGGCGACGGCGAGAACGAAATAACCGCTTATGAGTGGTCAGAGGGGAAACTGTAATTCGTATCTGTACCCTATTGGTGCATTTGGCCTGAGAGTCCCTCCTTTCGTTCGACCATGCACAGTGTTTCCAAGCTTACGCCCGTTCGTCTTATGCACATGTTGAATTTACAGCCTTTCGACCTTGCGCGTGTTGAATTTACGGCCTTTCCACCTTGCACGTGCTGAAATTAGAGTCGAGTATTTACGCTGGCTCTCCAGGGCGCCTTAGTACTGCACTCCCATCCTGCCGCATCATCTACGACGGCTCCCTATTATCTTGGCCACCCCGCAGCCTCCTGGTGGACTATCGCACGTCACCTGTCGTTTGCGCGTCGCGAACAGGAGTCCCTGCCAACCTCTGGAGAACCTTATGAATCCGCAGTAGCTTCATGCAGATGACAGGCTCCTCTTTTGTGATCGACCGGGTGGTTGTGGGAGATGATTCACTTGACAATAGCTCCAGAAAGCTCGATGAGGGCCAACTATATGGCGCAACGGGACTCAACGGCGGTCATGAAAGCTTCTGGCCGTTGACTGAGGGCACGTTACGGATGTCCCTTTTCGCTTTATCTGCTCTCTGCCGTGTGAATGTGTCTTCAGCCAAGCCTGCGGAGAAAGCTTTGATGCAGAAGCATCTTCTCAATGGACTCATGAAGTGGTTGCATGAACACCAGGGGGTGCCAGTTGTTGTTGGCGGCGTCGGTTCAAGGAGATGTATGAGTGATACTAGACGTTTTCAGATTCGCAGCTTCGGTCCAAATCTCGTATTTGACAACGAAGGAGGCTGTGTACCCGCGTCCCTCGCTAACGGAGTGGCAGCATTACTCCAGAAGCAAGACGGTCTCAAGGTTATGGCTCATTACAATCAGCACCCAAAAACCTTTACGACTCTCAAACAAAATTTTGAGGATGTTGGGAAGATTGGAATTCCACTTGTAGCTCGCCATATTTCTGCATCCAGAACCAAAGCGTACACCTTGGACTGGTTCAAGTGGATGTCAGGCTTGACGAGCGGTACATGGCTCTTGCGTGTCGTGCAACATGGAAAAGTCGATCATTGCGTGGCAGTAGACGCAAATCGCGGCATCATCCTTGATAGCGCTGCACGCTTTCCCTTTGTTCTAAGCGAAGACCCTCTGCACAGGCTTGGGGGTGATCAGGCGACGAGACTTCAAATTGCAGAAGTACGAGAGCTTGTGAAGCTCGACAAGAAAAGAAAAGGAATATAGGAAAGAAGAGGGTTCATGGTGATAACGTGTAGCACTAGTTTCTTATGATCTATTGTTCAGGCTTGACCATCAAGCGTCCATGGCCTACCATGTCAATTAAAGCTTGTTGTTCCATCTTCTTCGTCAAGCCGTCGGCGATATTTGCATTGCTGCGCACGAATCTAATGTCGCTAATTTCTTTCTTAAAAAATCCTTCTCTGGCAGTGGCGATATCAAGCATGAGCCGTTTCTCTGCAGTTCGGCTCTCCTTCGAGATAACATCGAAAAGAGACTTGCTGTCGGTGTACAACTGGACCGGTATATTCTTCCTATTCATAACAGCTCGGAGGTCCTCGACAAAGTGTAACACACATCAAACATATCGGTGAAGCTGATGATCTCGGCGGCCATCACAGAGCGCGTTACTCTGCCAGCTTTGTACGACTTCAATATGATCGGTATTGCGTTATTTTTAGCATCCGATAGAAGGAAAATAGAACCAAGCTGAGATGTGAAGTCATCGTTGCTTGCGAATGAAGCATCACAAAACCCTATTACGAGAAGTGATTCCATTTCGAGCTTAGGCATCATGATCTCCAGAGGGTGAGCATGTACATGCTTGACTAGCCTGTTACCCCCCTTGACGATTGCAAGGGACTCCACGTCGAATTTATCCCCGGGTCACTGCGCGAGTTGTGAAACTTCGTAACAGCAGTCAAGGCGAGTGTGTGTTAGCCAAGACAGTCTCATGCGGAGGGATGCGAAGTCTGAGTAGGTCGCATCAGTTACGAGCGGGCGGATAGTATTGACATAACCCTTTTGGTCAATCGACAGAGCCCCCGATTCGTCTTTTTGTAGTCGGAATCCAGTGAAGCTACACAGCGGTTTCTCTTCATCGGCCATATCGAACCTCTCAGCTGTCCGTTTTGCTAGCTGTTTGAAATCTTCATCTCCAGCACGAATTAAGTTATCCACATATGTTCCTGAAAGTCCCTTCAGTACACCGTCGACCATGAATGTATACAAGGCAGATTCTATTCGCAGAGGATTTATGCCAAGGACGTTTCGGTGATGAGCGTCGAGGGTGGCTTGCCATAGATCTCCATATTTGCAAAGACCATATAGGGGGCGGAGCAGTTTAAGACACTGCGTAGGGTCCATTCAGAATTCCGGGACTGGGTCCTTGATGAATATGTCTCTCATCAGCGTTTCAGCGGACTGTAGGTATGCCTGAAGTACATCTGCAGTCCAGACATCGAAACCGTACAGCGCAGCAAGTGAGAGTAGAAGGCGGACAGATGAATGTTGAAGTTTTTGCGAGGAGTGCACCATAAGCTGCTTGAGCTTGTTGCGATGCCCGCCAATAACATATCGAGCATTGACCTTTGTTTGGCCATCGATTGTTGACTTGGTAGATAGTAAAAATCGGCCGGGGAGTATGTTGGCATCCTCGGGAATATCTTGGCGAAGCACGATCTTGAACGTCCCACGTTTCAGAAAGTGCGGTTCAGCGCGATTTCATTTCGCTCAGCTTCACTCATCTGACTTGATCCAGCTCTTGTGTGCGTCGGATGTATTATTTCTGTAAGGTGAACGTCAATTTGAGACGGAGAGCGAAAATCAGAAAGGCCTTCGCACAGGTAGGCAAGGAAGGAGTGGTTGACTGCCTAAGGAGAATGGCATCGCTTTACTTGTGTCAGGTTGAACGGACGCGCCGAGCCAATCTTCACATCTTGCACGAAGACTAACTTTCGCTCTTGGTCAACCGCGATGATGTCAAAAGGTCCGATCCATTCACCAATGCGACTTTCCATAATACCTTCTCTCCAGACAAGGACCTTTTGCTCAACTTCGAAAACTGTGTTAGCCGCCTGTGGTACCGCATGACGAAGGTCACGCTGCACACGGGCAGTTGCCATCTCCCTTTCTATTTCTCTGCGAGCCACATTCGCGATCTCAACACGTGCCTCCAGGAGAGCACGGGTATGTCTAGTCTCGGACACATTGTAGGGTGAAGGGAACTCCCCAAACACTAAGGCAGAGGGAACGAGTCCATCTGGTCCGAGAGTGTCATTAAGAGCTTTGACAGCGAAGCTCAACAGTGATTTGGCGATCCTTATCGGCGTAAGCGATCCTCAGCTTTCGGAAGGTGTCCCAAAGCGGCTGATGATATCTTTCTCCTAGACCGAGGCTATTGTGATATTCAATCCCTGTTCGGCGAACTTCAACGCTACTCACAGCGCCGAGGATTATGAACAGGTCCTCGAAATTGCGAGCCTTGATCCACAAGGATCTTACCAGGAAGGCCGGTGTAGATCGTAGCCCAACATTCAAGAATGGTCTTCAAAATGGTCACGGTGGAGACATCACTCACGAATCGAGCGGCGCTGAAACGAGTACCCTCATCGACAATGTGAAGCATGTAGTATAACACCCCAGCGCTCAACCAACCACGAAGGCGGGAGCGAGCTCAGGGCGTATACTGTAGCTCGAAGTGCGATGTCACCGGGCGTACGTGCTAATAAGCGAATGGAAATGTGTCCCTGGTAGCGTGGTAGATTCTTGAATGGGTTCGACACCCCCACGAGCAACGGCTGGTAGATCGACGGGTCAACGCGTGACTCGGCGCCCTTGCGGTCAGGGCGACGACGCCAAGTCCGGATCCCGGCACGGAGCCGCGCTGTCGTAGCGCCTCACCCTCGGGTGGGTGGTCGGAACGTA